AAAAAAAAAAAAAAAAAAAAAAAAGGAATTTAACATCATAGTGTAAAAAAGGAATATAGCATCATAGCGTAACTGGAAAGATCTCAGTTTCAGAAAATACAAATATGTTCTATAAGGGGGGCATATATCTGTAGATGGAACTCACTTATCTTAGATTCGATAATTTTATGGTCTACCCACAAAACAAAAACCTATAGCTACAGAGCATGTCTTTTCTTTTCTAAAGTATATAATTCATAGACCAAAAAAAGGGGATAATACTCACGGTATAATTCTTGCCTACACTGTTAGTAACTAAACAGGCAACTTCTCTCATATCTTAGCTAAGTAAATGACTCGCCATAATCTTTTATAATTGAAAAAACACGTGAAAGGGGAGGGGAGTTCTGCTGAGGGATGCGCTGAAGCAATTTTTAAGTTTAGCATATTAATATCTCCTATCTTAACAATTGATGCAATTAGACTTACTTCTTTGGAAGGAAAACCTTCGATCGTAGGGTTCAACCTTGTATTAACTGCTTCAAGCTTCATCGACAAAAACTAGATCATGGACGTAGAGAGTGTTAGATGGAAAAGGAAGTACCAAAAGATATATATAACATATGGCCCGATATGAAGAGATACCTCAACTTGACGCTGAAGTGACTGGATGTAATTAATTATTTCGTCAAGAACCAGAGCTTTTCCACTAACCTGAAGAAGCGAATTTTCATTTATCATCATGTTTTTCTAAAGAACGCCAAACCACAATAAAATCAAATTTCAAAATCAATCATAGAAAAATAAATCCTGACAGATATATGTGGATTGAAGCTTTGACAACTTCACATTGAACTCAATCCACGGCCAATATGGACGTCAAAGTATCCAAGTTTCGTCAAGAACTGTCACAAAATAAATCCAAAAATGAGGGTAGAAAAGCGGAGACCTTATTGCATCCAGGAACCAAGTCTTGCAGAATTTTCATCCTCTCGCTGATCTTCTCTCTCCGAGCCTAACAATAAATGATAAAAATCAGAAACTGCATTACAGATGTTTATAAAACACTTGAAGGGCATGTTTTGTAAAGTGATAGAACTAGACCGTATAATGAACAAGATCTTAACATATTTTTCTTGTACACACCTAATCCACTTCACAAAACATGTCACAAAGGTTTAAAAAGGTTTTACTCTCTCAGCTAGACTGTGGCTATCAGTGGCTTGGCCCCTTCTCGCTCTAACATGGATGTAGTCTTTGGGCGGTTCGGGTTGACACTTCTCTTCGGCTCCCTTGTTACCAGTCCTTGAATTCGCTTCTGCTTTCCGCTTTGAGCCACCATTTTCATCTCTGGATCCTGATGGTTTCATTCGTTTACCATTCAGCTCATTCTATCCCACAAAGATTAAATTGTTAACAACCAACATTCCAATTCGTCATTTAAAAACTAAAATTAACAGTCTCAACTTTCTGAAACATGTAACAATCGCCCGAAATCAACAAGAAAACTTCTACAAATTCAAAAATAGTTGCAAAATCAAGAACATCAAAGGGCGTAAACAGTGTGGATAGAGAGGGAGAGAGTTACCAAATCACTATTAGAACGGCTAGTGGAAACAAGCTTAGAGGACTCGTCTTCATGAAAAGTTCCAACATCCATTCTCTTCTTCCCACCACCACCGCCACCATTTCTTCCGTGACTACCGCTCTGATCTGTCACGGTGGATTCCTCCACCGAAGCATCTCCTACTCCAAAACCGTCTCCAGTACCACTCAAATTCGGCATTCTCAGCCCCAATCCTCCTCCACTACCCCTCGGAAAGGATAATAACTCCACCAAACTATACGAAGCTGGATTGGACCCAACTATAAATGAAGCTTCATTTGTCAATGGAGGATCCATTTAACAAAAAAAATAAAAAATTTAACTAGTTACTTATATATACACTTACTGTATAACATAACTTTTCATATGGTTGTCTGTAAATGTATAATGGGTGTGTGTAAATGCAGAGAAGATATCAACATAAAGAAAGAGTATGCAGTAGTACAGTGATTACTGCTGGTAGATAGAGACACTTTGTTACGTGAGGTAGAGGAAGAAGATGCGTTGGGCTGGGGTACGAAAGTGCGCACTGCGCTTAGTGCGTATTTTAGTGAGAAGAAGAATCGCCCCCGGCCCACGTCTCCTTTTGGTTAAATCCGAGGGGTAAATTTCACTAATGGTCACTGAACTTTCATTTGTTTCAGATTCATCATCAAATTTTATGAAACGTCTCATCATGTCACTGAGATTTGACCGTCTATTATTTAACAGAAAATCTGACGCAGCGTCAACTTCATGAAATAAAATTAAACGAACAAATAAGAAATTTGAGTAGGGTTTTCGAAATGAGCAATGCTATATGTACATAATCGTTTATATACAGATGTAAAGCTGTGTGTACACCTCAAGGTATACACATAGTATTATTTTTCCGAAATTTAAGTTTTTGGTTTAGTTTTAGATTAATCGTATCAAAATTAGGACTGGACATAGTCTGGTTCGATTTTCATTACAACCGGACCGGACCTGAAATTTTAGGGTATTTA